GGGGCCGCCGTCTCCCCACGCTGCCCTCTCCCTCGCACCCTCGCCTACCTTGATGGCAGCCGTGGCGATCTGGATGTGGTGAAGCCGACGCAGCGTGCTCTCCCGGTCGATGAAGTAGGAGGCTGCCAGCTGGTGCAGGGTCTCCAGTGAGACCCCCGAGCTGTTCCCAGCCCCCCCGGTGGGCTCTGCCCTCCGGCTCAGCTTGCGCTTGTCCACAAAAATGGTTAGGGACTCCTCTCCTGGGGGGGGACACGCAATGCTTTTGCGGGGGCTGCTGAGCTCCCCCGTTCCCCTTCTTGGTCGTATTTCTCCCGTGGTGCTTATTTTCCCACCCTCCCTCCTTTGCCGCGGGCAAGGGGAGCGAGCGGGGAGCCAGCACCCACCAGCACTCACCTCCCAGCGTGGCGGCGAGCAAGAAGTGGGTCCCATACTTTTTGATGAGGCTGTCGGTGATCTGCTGGGGGCTGGGTCGCCGTCCCAGCAGACGGATGTTACGGATGAATTCAGGGGCCAGGGGAAGCGGCAGGCTGAAGAAATCTTTCCTCTCCAAGGCCAAATTATTCACCTTCCAACGAGCAAACTCTCTGCAGGAGGAAAGTGGCGGTGGGGGGAGGGGTGGAAGACGGGCCAGCATGCCGCATGCACGCTGTCCCCTCCGCTGTCCCCAATTTCCATCTCAGGGCAGGGGACCAGTGGGTGGAAAAACTCCCATCGGAACCATCCCGACCTCCCCATCCCTATAGATCCAGCCAGGACAAAAGCGTTGTCCCTCCCTAAACCATCGATGGCAATAACGAGCTACAAGCAGTGGAGATGCCTGATTATTGATTAATCAGGGACCTGCGGCGGGCATTAATCACAGCCCAGGGCTGGGCCAGAGCCTTTTCCAGCTCGCTGGGCTGGAGGGGCCTCACCCATCCTCCATCCCCATGCCTACGGATCTGGGTAAAAAAGCCGACATCTGGGGGTTTCATGGTTTTAAGTATCATCGGCAGTGTTAT